AAATGGCGCAGTCCTTCCTTTAAATACAGAAGAGGATTTGATCTCTTGGCGAACTTACTGAAGATTCAACAAAGAACAACAGAGAGATGTTCATATTTTCAATTCCTTTCGTCTCATTTGGCAATTTTTACAGTAAGCCCTCGGAAATTCCGGAGATATGGTGATTCTGGTTTTACAATGGGGACTAAATGCATTGTATGGCATCAGATCTTTGAAAGACAGGCGCAAAGAACAGTGTTACAAAAGTTACCTCTTTGACTCAGTTGTATCCAATTCTGCGCATGAACTCCATCATTTCCTACCACTCAAGGAGATACAATTTAGCAACGAGTGTAATTTTAGGTTTGGGAAAATGTGCACTAGTCGTAACACGACCACATTTGTTCCATTCAAGTCCAATCGGTAGAACTTTTATACATAGTTTATTTTTTATAGAGTCATTTTATATCACATGAAATTGTTTTTGAATGACAGCGAATAAAATATGAATTCAAATAACATTTAGCAAATTTCATGCTGCGAATTTGAATATTTTTCAATAAACAAACGATACAACTGGAGGAGACGACAGTGGAACGAAACAACCAAATTGCAGAACGAGCGTGCGCGAATCTAGAGCGCATTCATTCTTGAAAATATCGACATCCACAACAGAGTACGTACCCCTGGGAAGTGTTCTCCGCGAATCTATTCGCCATTTTCAGAGCAGTCTATCGGGAAACTGTGAGTGGTTCAACCTCTCTCGTCTGACAGCTCCTTTCATTTGGTTCCGCGAAATTGAATTAGATTATCGTTAACTTATGATCTGTTGTCTTTCTCAGAAAATTAGCGGAAGAGAAATAGCAGGAGTCTGGAAGCTAGCTAGGTTGGTGACCGCTGACTGAAGTATAGAAGAGTCTCAAAGATGGCGCGAAATGGCGGAGAGACTAGCGGCTAAATACAGGAATGGCTCCAACCTGTGATTGGATGATAAAAATAGTAAAAGTTAATTATATCTTAACTCCTTGCTCGTGAGTATTGTCAACCGCGTGTCTCGAAGCGGAAGAGTGAAGTATCAATGTGAAAACACCGATGAATCAAACAAGAAATGGCTACTTAAGGAAGGTACGTTTTTTATTGGAAGGAGGGGGATGGCCGGATGGGTCGGGGTATTTTAGAAATTTTTTGCGAAAAAAGTCGTGGCCCTCCTACTTCCCAGAATGGATTAATGCATGACCCTTCACATATACCTACACAAAAACATCTGACCCTCCCCCCACCTCCTCCAAGACAAAAATAACCGGAAGTGAAAATAACTAACCGGAAGTGTTAAGCATATAACCGCCTGCATGGACTTCCTGAAGAGGAAGTTAAGTCTCTTTCAATGTCAAAGCTAGACGCACACAGCAGTAAAGTCAGGGAAAAAAATGCGTGGGTTCTTGCTGAGGAAGAATGTCTTCGAATTGACGACTCCCCACTGCCACGGGGGTATATTTCAGCATTTTTGATCGACCGACCAGAAAATCAATTTTTCTACAACCGCGAGTACTTGAAAGAGTATCTTGGAGTTACCAACAATCAAAAGAGTTCTTTTCCGAGGCATGGGTATTTTTCCAAGCTAGAACAATTTGGGAGGCTCTGTTGTGAGAAAGGAGAGCCATATATAGCGAATGTCGTGTCAAGAGCGAAATGGCCAACTATGTAAATTTTGCGAGAAGGATGAGACTACCAGCGCTCTACTTCCAACTCGGCGAGCATATCCCGACTAGCGCGACTATGGCAAGCTACCAAACTTCCATTATCTCTCTTGGAGTGCAACCCTCTACCAATGGCCGTGAGCCGGACGACTTCCATTTGTTGGCAATGACACAGGAATTGTCAATAGATTTGCCACTTTCTAACAGGGTGGCAAATCAAATATCAAATATCATACGAAAAAAATCAGACGAGAAAACAATTCTCAGTCTGCGTTTTGTACCCAGTCTGCAGTCTGCAGTCCGCAGTATGCACTTTGTACTGACAGGTTCGTGAGTAGAACTGTCCTCTTTCGAGAGTGTCCGTTAGCGCGGAGAGTTGACTTGTATCTGTATGTAATAAAACTTTTTAAGATACGGATTTTGTCTAAGAGATCCTATGGTCCAAGTCTCGAGCTTAGCACAGTTTAACTACTGCTAAGCCATTTCAAATCATGTTACCACCTTATAGGTTGTATTCGTCACCTGACTTTTAGGGACAAGAACAGAATTTGAAATCTAAATGAGTCTAACGGACTTGCATACCGCAAAAACATCTGAGGATATCGTGAAAAGCAATCCAACTCCGAGCGATGTAACTCACTGGCACCTGCCTTAAAACGACGGTATTTAGACCTAGTTAGAGTCTAGCCTTCGTGTAGCTGTACCCTCCCCCGTCATTATATATTTTCTTGCAAAAGAATGACGTCATAGAACACGATTAGTTTTAGGTTTTCGTAGATGTTCCCTTCCCCCCTTTCAACTTAGCAGGGTGGGGAGAGTGCGGTTGCATGTGGGCCCTAACTATCGACCGTGAAAACCTGGGAATGAAGTAAATCTTAGAAACCAATATGGCGACCTTTATACAGAAGAGAGTGATGTCTTTCTTCGTTCGCTCTAGCGGCCTGTCTATTCGACAAACCTTACCAGCCAGACATAATCCAAGTCTGAAGCGAAAAAATAAACCTTTGGTTCGGAGAAAGAAGAGACCAACGCTCTCCAGCCTCCGAAAAACTGCCGAGGTCGTACCTCCAATCGACCCCGAGTCCTTGTTGAATACAACTCTGTTAGAGGCATCGAGGCAGCGAAGGCCGGTGGAATTATCACCTGAAGAGAAAGAAAGAAGGACGTTACTCCTAAAAGAGTGGTCGAGACACAAGATGCAGGAGCACAAGGAAGATTTACAGCGCTTCCAGGAACTGGAAAGATGCCGCGAAGAGGCCTTAAAAGAATTGAAGAAAAGCTCTCCGCTTCTTTACGAAGCCGCCATTAAAGTTGACGCCAATTTTTTCCCAATTGAGTTTAAGGGGCCAACTGAGACACCACCGATACCTGACTACTTGGCGCCTGACATGGAGGATGTTAAAGCAAAGAACAAAGGAAGACGTTAACTCCTTCACTTCCGAGATCTTATTTAGTAATTCTCCCTACTGAATATTATACAATTCTTAGTACTATACAGTTCTTAGTTTAGAGAGTTTGGTATCGGATCAACTATTCGGATCCCCTAATTCGTCTGGTCACTTTTCTGCTTGTTAGTATTGTTATTGTAAGGAGAAATTCTGTTTTAATTACTCACAGGAGTTAAAGGGTTAATTGACACAGATCAACAGTGGTTGATCAATCACTTGATCTTGATGCAGACTTAATCTTAAATTAGGCATCAAGCTTGTAAATAACTTTTGTCTTTAACCAGGTCATCTGTCTAGCTAGCTGTAATTTTTTTAGTGGATCAAAAAGTATAGTTTTCCATGTTTTGGCTTCATACTCCAAATTAAATCTTTTAGGCTTGGTGTCTGATATCCATGGTCAGTATTGGACCATACCAACAAACTTGGCAATCATAGCAGGGAATTTTCCACACATTTGTCAGGTGTAGGCATGTAGGCTAAGTACCAGTAGTAAGCTTGCTCTATCAGTCTTTCAAGGAAGCTTACATGAGGTGTTGGTTTACTTGAGAAGAATTGAGTGTCAAAGTAATTCCTGATTGCCTTGGTTATGCTTTACTCTGCAATGGCTATAAATTAATGAAAACTTACACCACTTTCTCAACTGATCAGATTTAAAAAGCCAAAGCCACTTGTGACTTTTTTACTTGCCCTTTCCATACTTCAACCATGTAGAACAAAATTATTTTTACAATAATTTTTTTTGGCTCCAAGTGATATTTTCTTTTCATCTGATTGGCTGTTGTGATTCCTTTGGATTTGGTTTATAACATTTAGTTGAAAGGTACCCTAGTAAATGATGTAATACATTCATGTTAATATATGATGTGTGGAGTTGCTGGGTATCAGATCAAAACCAAAGATGGCTGAAGATTTCTTAAGATTTCCTTTCCTTGAATAGTCCTTACTCAATGCAGTCTTAAGGGGTTGGTTGTTTGAAACATGATTAGTGTTCATCTAGGATTGAAAGGGGACCATGAATTTCTTTTGCTTGGAAGCACTGATCAGAGCAAAAATATTTTGAGGTGTAAGCTAGACTGAGGAAAAAAAAAGGAGCAGAAAGGGAAAAGAAGGAAAGTAAAAGTTCTTGCAATCCATGAGAGCTTAACCCTTTAACTCCCAAGATCTCATAAGTAATTCTCCTTACTGCCTGCCATATAGTTTTTGTGATGTTAGTTTGGAGAATTTGGTATTGGATAGACTAATAATCCCCTAATTAATATTTTTCTTTATTCTCGTCACTTGTCTGCTAGATACTGTATTGATATTGTAATGAGAAATTCTGCCTTGGTCACTCATGGGAGGTAAAGGTTAATAAAAATATACACTGACCTTTGGTTAATGTAATCATTATTGAACAACCTGTGGCTCTTTTAGGTTTTGCTCAATTACTGACATGGATTTTTCTTTCTTTTATTGGTTTAATTTTGTTGAATTTCCAGTTTTTCCCCATGATGTTAGAGATTGTCAGGGAAAGTAAGGTAAAGCCCAATCTGTGACTAGGCAATATTTTTATGGTAGGAATACCAGACAGGGTGGCACATCCTATCAATAGCAGCCTCTTTTGAAGCAAAGTTACTGAAACGTTGCAGTGGGAAGCAAAGGGGGAAGAGGGAGGGGAGGGGGTTGGTTTGGGTTCTGATGCTGTTTACACATAAATTCCAGAAAATATTATTTATGAGTCCAATATACTTTAACACCTTTGACATGACTTGGACGTAAAGAGAAAAACTTCAAACCTCTCTTTGTGTGTAAGGTTTCAGGAAATTTTGCGGTTTACTTATAAAGAAAGTAAAAATTAATAGGTTGTATAAATCAAGAGACAAATCATTCCTATGTTGGTACTCAAATTCACAAATTACACTTGCCACTATGTAAAATTCATGTGACATTAATTTTGGCCTTATTCACATGTCACATATAAACCCTTTACCAGCCTCATTCTAATGAAATACTTCACAGTGAAGTTTGTTCTTCAACATTAAAATCGCATCCACAGTGACTTCTGAGTTGAGTGGAGCCTCAAAAAAAGACAACACTCCTCATGATTGTTTGTACTCCATGTGGCACATGTCTTCATAATTTTTTCCTTTAGCTGACCTTTCTTTAAATTTTTTGTGTGAAATAAATTTTTTAAAGCACAACACCAGGATGGAACACTCTCCAAATCATCTTTTCTTTCTTGGAGGCTTGTATTCTGAGATATCATGGTCTTCATAATCTTCTCGACTGTGCCCCTCCCTGTTGGGAAAACATGACAAGTAAAATTCTCCAAACTAACAAAATAATTATATGACAGACAGCGAGGAGAATTATTAACCCTTTACACTTTAACATTCAGTTTTCATATTCTTCATACTGTTCTCTGTACATTAACTATGGTGCTGACAAGGAGAATTTGTCTAACAATCAAGAGTTTCTTTAGTTGGTGATCATTTCCTTTATTCTCATGACATTAATGTGTGATTCAGTGGTAATATTGTAAGGAGAAATTAGCTGCTAGTCCCTCTTAGGGGTTAAAAGGGTTAAATGAGGCCTTGGGATTGAAAGGGTTAAAGTTGAATCATGCAATTTTTCAATCAAATTTACCAACAGGAATTTGATGGAGGTGTATAATTTAGTTTGTGGATCTTGAAAAATTAACCTTGATTTCTAGAGTGCATCATTTGTAATCTGTTTTAATCGTCTCTTTAAATACCTGTTCCATCTTGATTGGTTGTGTTTTTCTATTGTATTAATTGAGAAACATTTCACAGTTGAATGTAAAACCCACAAAAAATGAATTCAGAAATTGTTATACATACATGTATGCTTCTTTGTAGCTGGTACAAAAGGCATTACATTTTTGCTTTGAGGCAAGCCTTAAAGGATAATAAATTAACATGTACACAAGGTTACCTATAGCATCTTCGACAATATAAGTCATCATCACAACCATGACATCTTAAAACAGCATTCCCATTGCAGATACAACACCAAGGCAACTCCTCATCATCACTGTTTGCTTCATAATCATGGCTGAAAATGCCGCTGGGCATAGCTGAGAAATCCATATCTTTGGTCTGACAAGAAGTGAGACAAAACAAAACATTCATTTTCAACAAAAATGGTTAGAAAAAATGGCAACTCATCATCATTGTTTGCTTCACAACACTGACTGAAAATGCTAATTAGGCATTGTTGGGGGACTGTATGTAGTATCTGTGGTCTGGCAAGATGAGATACAAAACAAAAATGTAATCCTACCAAAACTAAGTTGCCAAAAAATAACAAAAGGCCAAAAGGAAGTCACTAAGAACTATATGTGATGTCTTAAAATTGTTTGTTGCTATTTCCATATCCATCCTTGTTGGTGGAATGTTACTGGGAAAGTCAGGATAAAAATTCATAGCAAAACAACTATTCAAAGTCCTGTTTTAGCTGAGTTAACTAGTAGCATATATTTGTTTCATTGAAAATTTTATATTTTATAATTTTCAATAAAGGAAAACAAAAAAGCAATCAAAGGGCTGTGAATGAAAAGGAAACTAACAGATTACCTTTGATTGTCCTGTCTTTTTTCTGGATTTGCTAGATTTGCTGGCAGAGGTATCTCCTAGTTTGTAACCAAATTTGGTTGTCAATACTAAATAGAGTTTTATAGGAATTGCCTAGCACTGTATCACATCTTTACTCTTGTTTGTTTAATTGCTGCAGAGAAAGCAGATGTTTACAAGCTTTCAATAGGAAATATGCAGATAGTTGTGCACTGAAAAACTGATTAAGCATAAGGTTTGGTGTTTGGGGCGGCTATGGATACTGTTACCTTTAACACTTTTATTCCAGAAGGCTTTGTGTATACAGAGGTCATGGAACATTTTGAAATGCACAGAATTTACATGCTCAGAAATGAAAATGAGTTCTTAAGTGTCAACAGTGTATTTGAAACACTTACCACAATCAATGTTTTCCATTTTTAAATCCAAAGCTACTTCACCAAGTATCTGTCAATACACCAAAAGATCCCTTATCTTTCAAAATATCCAAAAGTACTATTGGTATTATATATTTTTTTCATTCTCCTCTTAAGTTTAGAGTATGGCAGGAGATGATAAATATGATCTTGTTTTAACCCAAGATAGGTATCCCACCACAGACAGGGTTTGTACCCTTTTTCAGAACCACATTTCAAGAACTTTTCCAGGACTTTTCCAGGACTCAGATTTCTTTTTCCAGGGCACCAAATTTCACATTAAACCCAAGATTTCAAAATCGATTCTCCTTATGATCTACATACATTTCTTATAACCTCAATTCAGAAAACTTTGTTGCTTGTTAGTTAAGAAAATTTCCACAACTTTCCAGGAACTGCAGTTTTTTTCAAGGACTTTGCAGGTTTTCCAAGACTTATATGGACCCTGTATGGATGGCCTTTTAGCATTATATCAAGTTTTCTTAAAATGGTTTGTTAGTTGCCATTATTTTTCAACAGTGAAGGGAGACAATGTGAGAGTTAGTATCTTAACTGTAACATAGAAACCACAAGTAACTATATAATTAAATTGTAACTAGAAAGGAGGACCACAGTATATTCTGCCCACATACCTTATGTGGAAATGCTCCAGTCAATCTGACACTCATTTAAAAATAGTAAAAAGATCCCAAAAGTAACCGATTACTACATGTGGAATAAAACTTCTCAGTCTTTTTTGTTTTACAGACTGTTTTTCAACCAAACTTTCACACATCTGTAAAAAAATATATAAAAAACCAACCTGTTTCAGGTATTGTTGACTCGCTGTTTCATCATCCTCATCACTATCAAACATGTTTGACTTGGGTTGATTTGTCAGACCTGATAAGTACAAAATAATTGTTTTAAATAATAATCTCCATTTTTTTTACAAACCAGGTTACTTATTACAAATACCTCTGATCGATTATTAGTACTTTATATAATTAGGTTTAAACTAGAGTTTAATTGGAGAGGTCACCCAGAGTTATTAATGAGATTTTAAAAAAGTTCTACCTGATAATAAGAGAGCCATGTACATGTGTCACATAAGAATCTTTTGTGATGTATCTTAACCCTTAAACTCCCAAGATCTGATCTGACTGATAGCTGCTACCCATTTCCTTGTAAATTAGTTATGAGTACTTGGTGCTAGATCAAGATAGCAGCTTCTACCAAATAAGTTTGAATATTCTCATTACCTGTTTGCTGAAAAATGTATGGATGTTATAGGGAGAACTTTCATGTTAATCACCTCTGGGAGTTAAAGGGTTAATCCTCTAATAAGAGACCAAGACAGTGTTTCTCCTTACAATATTAATACATTACCTAGAAAAGAAGTAATGGGAATATAGAAAAATATAAACCAGGGGAAATTATAAGTTGATCATATACCAACTTCTCCAGACTATACTGTAACATCATAAGAGTTGTATGGCAGACAGTAAGGAAAGTTACTAAAGAGATCTTGGGAGTGAAAGGGTTAAGTGAGATCCATGACTTACATTGTAATTTATTGCACAATGCAGAGTTAATATTGTGACGAAATTCCCTATTTACTGAATTGTAATTGTATGAAGATACTGCCTAGCATTTTAAAATCAAAGAAGTCAGATTTCTTGTAGAGGTCTCAACCACATCTGAGAGGGTCTGAAGATTCTAAGACACTGAAAATTTCACAAAACATCCCAAAGAACTTTGAAAGGAAATCCCCTTCACTGCCCTTCCTTCTAAAATTAGAGGTTTTAGGACTAGATGAATTTTTTTTCAAATTCACACATATCTGTTAAAACACAATTTTTTTTCATTTGGTATCAGGAACTGGTTTGCAGTTGTGAGCTGATGTGAGACTAAAGTTTCTACAAAAGATTAAACACAAATTTTTTAGGCTTCTTCTTTGCTGACCACAAGCACTAAAATGGTGCTTGCCAACACTCAATTTCTGGTTGCACTGGTGACTAGCTGCTGGTAATACTGGCTGGTTACAATTTTGGACCCTGATTCTATAGTTATCCTTTCATTTTTAAAATTATACTCAAGCTGAGTAACAGCACACTCACTTGGATTGATGCCTTTCAGCTTAGCAAGTCTCTCTTCAATTTCCTTATCAATGATACTACTTTTGGCTGTTGGATCCTCCTCAGCAAGTTTGTTTTCTTCCAACATCTGTTTCATCAAATCACTAACCTCTTCTATTTCAGATTTCTTTGGCTGAAGGGTATTAATCTGTTGAACAAGGAAATATTTATATGAATGTTACTTAAGAAAAAAACTCTTCTATGGCTGAAAAGAGATGAAATAATGAGTTACATGTGACTCATTTAACTCTAGGAGTGACCATCATCTGCTTCATCTCATTTCTCCTTACAGCAGACACAAACTCTTTGGAATCTAAAATTGCCGTCAGTGCCATATACATCAAACTGCAATTTCAAAGGGCAAAGAGGAAAACTAATGGTTTCTAAAGCAACCACCTGCTTTACATCTTTAACCAAGTGGCTGATGAAGATTTTGTAGCTACCATAACCACTGTTGTAGTCTCCAAAACTAATATTTTTTTTCCAAAGGAGTGATAACATTGACATTTTATCCAAATGTTATTTACATTTGAGTTCTGCATTGAAATTGCCTTTCTTCCTGTGAGGTTCTCAAACCTTTCTCCTAATTGTTGATCTGTTATTTGTGATATTGAAGAATTATCTGTGAACAGAATTGAGAACAGTTCAGGATCAATTGGGAACCCAAAGCGATAAAATGATAGCTTATTACTAGCTGAGTGTCAGGGTGGTACTAGCAAATATTTGCCAAAGGTCCATACAAAAACAAACAAGGAGGAATGTCCCCCAGTAGCTTGAGCAAGAGTGGTTAGTACAAGTAACTAATTTATAATCTGGCACTTGGACCAAACTGGTTTAGTTGGAATTTTGCCAGCTTTTGTAAAGTAGTCATGGAGCAAAATACAGACCAGGTAAGAACCAATCAGAATATTCAGAGTTATCTCAGGACTACCCAGCATAATAATAATATTGCATATTACATCACCTTTATCTTTACAGGAATCATTTGCCCTAAGCTCTGCCAGCCTCTGACGAATTGCCTCATCAGGATCTATTGAAGAATTTTCATGTTCTAAAGATTCAGCTCTTGTAATGACTGTTTTTCCTAATCCATCTTGTGGATCACCTTTCTGAAAAATAATTCAGAAAACTTTCATTAGTTTGATTTCATTGTTTTTATATTGCCATCTTCAAAAAATGCATTATTTCTCAAAAATAACTAGTATCAAAAGGACCAAATCAATAATGAGTGTAGACTGTCATTTACCTCACAAGTGCTTAAAACAGGTCTGTGTAAAGCAGTGTTTTTGTTTAGGTCATTTAAGTCGCTTCTATCTCTGGTTTGAGTTTGTTTTTGTGAGTCTCTGTAACAGAAAAAAAGGAAAAAATCCATTCAACAACCTTCCTCTTAAGCATGAGCCTAAGATTATTTTTAATGAACATGAACTAAAGTGTACCCTCCCAGTCATAATTAGTTGGGGCACTTCTCCAGAACAATGTCTTTGATTTTTTTTTTGCCTTCCTCCCTCTCCCAATGTTGTTAATTACCAATAATATTATATCCATGTCATCTTGCAGACCAACATTGGCTGGGGCAGGGGAGGTAGTAAATTTTCCAAAAAATGTGTCTAGTAGTAAAGGTAATTGAAGGAAACGACCCTTATTCAAGACATAGCAATTAACTTAATGTATGACTGCCCACTTTCTTAGAGTATACTGAAATCATATGGACTCAGAACCAGTTCACTTGAGTTTTGGTACTAGGTAAAAAATTGAACCTCTCTGCTTATGACGATGTATATCTAAACTGCAAGATATGACTGCAGAAACACAACAATTTTGTAGATTTAGTTGCAGTCAACTAACCTCGTCAAAGTCCTGTAGCATTGATCACAGACTTTCATTTTCTTTGATCCATGTTGTGGTAGAATAATTGACTGAGAAGTGCATCCAGAGCAAAAAAGTCGTCCACATTTCTTACATCCATGCTGAGGTTACAACAGATAGTAATGATAAAAAAAATAGAGACAAGTTAGCGCGCTTTGCAACAAATATCTAGTTGATATCGATCAAATTGTCCACAAAAGTGGGGAACCGAGTTTGGGAGAAGAATGCATGAATCTTGACACAGTGCACAATAAAGTTGGATCTTATGTAACAGTAAGTTACAAAACTGTACAGCAAACGTAAACTTTTCGTAGTGTCACTAGTACTTTTGAGAAGAGAGCTCACAAAGAAATTTAGTTCTTGTAAGCCAGACACAGGCCACCGTTCATTAAAGACTCGCAGAATATATCGTGAAAAATAAAGCGCCTAAGAGTTTTCATTCAAAGGAGAAATGTGAAACTAACCTCTCGTCTGAAGAAGCCAAATCCTTGTCCACAACCAAAGCATTGTAGGCCCGCCATGTTTGTTTTTATTTTGTTGTGAGCCTGCCTTAGCAGCGGTTATGTCAGAATTATCATTCATGTTTTATCCACAGAATGTCTCTATAGCTAGTCATGTCACATCATGGCGGAAGATCGTCCCATGGTCATGGAAAACTAGGAAAACAAGATCCCGAGAAGGGAAATGTGGAAGTAGGAGAAGGTGAAGAAGAAGAGGAAGATCCCTTTGATACTAGGATAAAAAACTCAGGATGTTCGGACCTTCACTTTGCTCTGATGGTGGGTAAATAATGTTCATCCCAAGTGTAAGAACCTGCAACCTGCGACGACACAATTCGCAGATTTTGCACCGTGTACACCGTGGTAAACCTATAAATTTGACTTCACCAGGAAATTAGTTTTTGTGGTCGATCGAAAATGGGGGGCGGGGAAGCATGATTTGTGGTGGGGCGGGGGACCCTGGTGATTTTTCCACTGACCGCAAGGCAGGGGCAATCAGTTGAAACCTGTATCAAGCGGTCACTCACATGGAATGGTTGGTAACCGCCTAATGCAGGTTAACCGCTAAATATAAATTCCACAGAAAAGGGTATTTTAAAAAACAATGAAAAGATCTATTTTATGCCGTAATTGATCACTCGATGTACAAAAAACTTGCTCAAAAATACAACTTACATTGATTTCGGCAGAGAAAAAGAGATTGAAAAGTTACTTGAAAGATATTTAAAATTTTATTTGAGTGGTTCTACTTTAAGTGACCATCCAATCCTGGTGGAAGACAATACAAACAGGTTGTTGGGATTCTTGGGAAATATAGTAAAAGGTGACCATGACCATTTGATAGAGGTGACTGCTTAATAGAGATGAAAATTACAGTGATTAACCCTTTAACTCCCAAGATCTAATAGTTAATTCTCCCCTCTAACTTCTACATGTTTCCTTGTAAATTAGTCATGAGAATTCTGTGTTAGATCGAGGTAATAGCTTAAACCTGATAAGTTTGATTATTCTCATTACATGTTTGCTGGATTATATATGGATATTTTAAGGGAGAAGCCACATGTTAATCACCTCTGGGAGTTATAAGGTTAAGGGGAAGGAAATCTGGGACTTTGACAACTTAATGCTTAACACAGGGTGACCACCTAATATGGTGCTGCTTAATACAGGGTGACCACCTAATATGGTGCTGCTTAATACAGGTTCCACATCTAAATTAGCTTACTTGTGTTATCTTGTAAACTGTATGTTTACTAACAATCTTCTACATGCCAATCATTTCAGTTAGGGGTTTATGATCTTAGTGGCTGGATGGTACCTTAAAAAAAGTGCTTTGCTTAGAGCTCTGGGTCAGCTAGAATCAGAGAGACATATTAAGTTTTTTGTCTGCATTATGTTATCTCTTCAAGGATTGTATGGATGAATATAAAGACTGGAGAAAGTGCCAAGACCATGTAAAAGCTTTCAAGGCGTGCATTGATAAGCAGAACAAACAGAAGAAGCCTTAGTTGGTGAAGGGTATGAGCTGATAACAGATCTAGATCCCAAAAACCTCTAAGCAACGACTCTGACTCTTAAGAGATTACATTGATGAAGAATTTGTGAAAATGTCTCAACCAAGAGGAGTGCCCTAGAATTCGTGGGAACACTTGATATTGGATAAAGAAAATGCTTTCTTGCTTACACAGTAAAACTACCATAGATAGAAATTCTTTATGAATTATGAAAGTAGATAATTGTATGTTAAATTATGCAATTTTTCTTCAAAATATTGACAACAGATCAGCTATCTCTTGGTTTTTTCTTTTCATGGGCAGACTTGCTGTCCAGTTTAAGAAGAGTTGATAGATGTATCACAGAAATTAAAATTTTTTGGAGGATATACCTGTTTCTATTTGTTTATGAGATGACTCTTCCTTGGTGGTAGGCCTCAAGCCATCTTAAATTTTACAATTTTCTAATTTCTGGAAAATCTAAAGAGTTGCCGGAGAAAACAACACTTGGTTTGGAGGTGTTAGACCTTTAACAAATATCTACTCTCATAATGAAGTGGTGTTTACATTGATGAACACACCTGACTACACTTTGCCAATAAGCTACACATGAAAATAAAAGTGACATGATGCAGCCACTGTTAAACTTTGAGCCATAAGAGTGACTAGTATCTAATTTCTCCTTACAATATCATCACTGAATAACACATTAAGGTCATGAGAATAAAGGAAATGATCACCATCTAAGGAAGCTCTTGATTGTTAAACAAATTCTCCTTGTCAGCACCTCAGCAAATGTATGGAGAAGAGTATGGAGAATATGCATACTGAGGTTAGAGTGTTAAGGGTTGATAATCACTGGTAACAAACATAGAGGAAGTTTTTTTTTTATTTGGTGAATGAAGTTGAACTATTCAAACTTTGCTTGTCTAAAAAACACTAAACATCACAAGTATCTAGACTTCGTTATCTACTACTTCTACAAAGACAGCAGTCAAACTTCTGCGCATGTGCAAACGTTGTAATGAAAAGAAGATTTCAGGCTGTTACAACCAAGTTGTTTTCCAAATTTACAAACTACCGCACAAGCCAGTTAGTCACGGTGTTTTAGAAGCGTATAACGTTTTTTGTAAAGTTCAAAATAGACTAGTAAATCAACGGAATACCCATCGAGTGTTCCTTTCCCATGATTCCCATGAACGCTTAGATTTTCTTTTGCATCGTTATTTAGCGAGACGGCGGTTTCTTATGTATTCCTTAGAAATTTTGCGCGGGAAATTGGTGCGTGTGCGCTCAAAGTTGATCCCCTTGCACATGCCCCACGTTTGACCACTGTGTGACTTCTATGTCATTAAGTGCACTTCTCATGTAGTTGGTGATATATGCAGCTATAGAAAGCGTGTACCCTGATTATCAAATAAAATGCTTTTCACCGAACAAAGATGTAACCCATCACTTTGATATTTTTTTCTCCATTGTCTGCATCATGAGCGGCCCTATTTCCACATGTATTTGGAACCGTGCCTGCGCAACCAAAGCGAATTCTAGATTCACAGGTCCCGCAGTCTCCTTCATTATTGGCAATCAAACCAATTCTCGCCTTCGAATTGTTTGAATTCGGGTGTACGTTGAACCCTTCTGCATTGCAGTTGTTTTGCAAAGAGGCCTCTGCACCAATCAGCGACTTCCATGCGTTGCGACCAAGTGAAGTGCTACGGTATTGCCCATCCGCTATCAAATAGTACAGAGATTCAGCCGGCTTATCGATCAAGATGAAGTTGGTTTCATTGCCTTTCTTCATGCCGAGGCATATCGAGCTGAAACTTGTGTTCCAGTAAGTTGGTAGCTTGGTTTCTTGCTCGTCAAATCCTGTCATCCCCGCAAAACTGTCAAACTCCACCATATTACTCCAGAGATCGGAATCATATTGGAAGGTGTCCTGGAGAATAATGACATTATCAATTTACAACAGTTTACTGTAATGGCGGCTTTGATGTAAAAAAAAAAGAGGATTATCATGAGTTTTACCTCACGACGAGTGTATTGTGGGCTCCGAGAAGCAACAATCAATTGGTTTCCACGACATTTTCTAATCAGTTGCGTGGCTACTAAGCTTCAATAATCAGTATCCAGGATGAGGAAGCCGAACTCCTTAACTCCTGGGAATGACTAACTTCTATTTTCTCCTTACAATGTCACCACTTAATCAAGCATCAAGGTCACGAGAATAAAGGAAATGATCACCCATTAAAGAAGTTGTTAATTGTTAAAAAATTCTCCTTGTCAACAACTCAGGGAAGGCATGGAGAAAAGTATAAAAAACATGCATACTGATGTTAGGGTGTAAAGAGTCAATCAGTTGGGTGACTGCTAGGGTGCTTGGATCGGTATCCAGGAGCATGGAAGCCCTAACACCCCCCCTCTCCCCCACCACCCTCCAAAAGGTTTTGATCGTTCCTTTTTTGAGGTTTTTTTCTAAAAATTTTTTTTTAATGATAACTTAAACTAGTTGGAAGCAATGAAAGCTCTTAAATTTTTAAAACTTTTTTAATCGCGTTTGAACAGCAGACGTGTTCAGGTAGTTTTCACACGTAGCCCCTTACCGTAATTTCCGGCCGATTACCCGCAGGTAATCTGTTAATTTTTCCGCAAACAGTTGTTAGTGCGGGTTATAGGAAGGTGCGGGTAATACGATAATTTTTAAAGCTTCCTGTATAGTTTTAAAACTATAGGCAGGAAAAAATAGAGATGATAAGATCTTATAAAGATACTCTTCAAAAAAAACCTGTGCAGTAACTCATTTATTTTGCAAAGATCGCCCATTATATAATAGACTTTTATGCTCTCGATGAAAGCCGGTGTAAATCGAAAACAGTTCTACAAAACTCGTTAACAAAGCTTTTATCTTGTTTGTACTCTTACTTTCTTATCTTGTCAATTTCTTAGCTTGTTTGTTTATTTAGGTAAAACAAATTTTCACTTACGAGGGTAATGAACTTAAAAATAAAAGAATTTAAGTGTGAAAAAGCGGGTAACACATGACTCACTCTAACATCTAACAACACCTTTGGCAAACATTGAGAGTATTTTTCGCTTGCCTCCTAACTCGTGCAGAGGTTGAAATAGGCATATAATTTAAAATCAGTATATGAGCGATATTTTTAATCTTACTTCTGAAAACTACTTGATGAAGTCTGCTGCTGTCAGACACCGTGCGTAGGAGACTTTCAAATGGATGTCGAAAGTTTACTTTACTTTGCTTTGGGATTGGTCCAGAAAACTTGCGCCTTTTTCTCAACCAATCAGATTCAAAACAAAAACCAATCACGCCCGCTTTTTCCCGCGCTTTAGACAGTTTTGTTGTTTGGACTTTAAGTTCTCATTGGTCCTTAAAGGTAGTTTCCTTTATTTTGATTGGCATTTGTGAATACTTGGCTTTGGTTTTAGGACACTCGATCCCAAACGGTGATTTTATTTATGAATATTCACCTTAGAACCATTCATCTTCATAACCAGAGTCCAACCGCCGCTTCCACATGCATTAAGCATAGTAGTCATCTGACAGTAAACTGGATAAATGCCTGATCCAAGCTTCAAAGGATAGGCTTGGTCACTGACATTGCTTTCGAAAAAAGTTAAAAAACTGTACTTTTAAAAGTTAATAAAGCACAATAAAAGAGTAAAAGATCATAGGGTATCCCCTTTCCAATTTAATACAGTATTTTATCTAAGCTGATGAAAAAAAGACTCTTTTCAGGAAGAGAAGAGGATGAACCACGAATGCAGTTATTCTAAGTAGAAATGATTTCAATAAAATGATGGATGTATCATTTACCTCAAAGTAGATTTGTCAAATATGAAGGCTTAAAATTGATCTAACCCGTTTACTTCAAGAAGTGCCCAAGACTGACAGGATTTCTCCTTACAATATCAACACAACATCAAGCAGACGAGAATTAAAAAAAATATCAATCAGGGGATTATTAGTTGATCCAATATCAAATTCTCCAAGCTAACAAATGGCAGTCAGGAAGGTGAATTACTAATGAGATCTTAAGAGTAAAATGGCTCAGGTACTACCAACAAAACTGGTCTGCTTGTGAATCTGCTCTCCCATACAAAGCTTAGTTTTGGTTATTTGAAAGGCAACGAAATTAAAGCGTAACATCGAATTGCACCTCACCTTGAGATTTTCAACACTTTTGGGTGAATAAATGCTACTTACTTGTTCTTATACGTATTGTATTCATAGAGTTCCATGCAGCTCCTAGAATCTGAGTTAAGGAGAAAAACATATCTCATATTTTTAAGGAAGTAAATATGTCCGATGAGTTTAATTCCAATTCTACTTATTTTGTTGGTTATTGGCATCAAAAATGACGATGAAGATATTTACTGAGATGAGGTTCTCCAAACTTACAGTGTGGGAATAACTGTCTACAGTGAAGGGGCTTTGACAACTTTTTTCATAAGTGGCCGCTGGTAGTGTTATTGAAGATGTGCCTGAAAAAGAGCCGTAAGAGGCTTGGGAATGTAATTTCCAGCATTCTGGGCATCAAAAAGAGTGTTGTTTGCAATAACCTTTGCTGATTCCTCTGTAATTTGTCTGACCATTGTCATAATGCTACGTTCGTGGATAAACTCAGAAAATTATAAATTCATTGGCTTGTGGAGAGACTCTCGTCTCAAGATCCCCCTCCCGGCTCGTACCTTAGTCGTGCGAAAGCCCACAGGAAACCCAAACGTGAGAGTTTGGCCGTAGGCTAAACAGGCAGTGGTAAACCACCAATGATCAGCTTTTTTTGATCGAATCTCCTGCCAATTTGGAAGAATTTGGCGACAATGGCAGAAAAACTGGGCTGACGTCATATTTAAAGGGTGACCAAAAAGAGAGGTTTGAGGAATGACATGACAAATAAAAAATAAAACAAGAAATTGAAAATATTAAAAAAGTCCGCCACAACTCATTCTCCGTTTTTCCAGCCAGCAGGATGCTTTGGGCCAGCTATTTAAACAAAGTTTAGCCATTGTTTAACAAAACCGCGTTCTGAAAATTACTCAATTTTTCTGAACCTATTATCGGACATTTAATTTTGTGAACAGTGTCAAAATGGCCAAAAGTTAACAGTGGAAGGACATTTATTTCGTTAAATCAACCCTCTTTAAAAGAGAGAGCGTAAGGCCCACTGATTGCTTAAAACCGTGATTTGGATTTGACCTCGTATAAATAACCGGCCCTTTTAATCTTGTACGTTGTAGCTATGTGTTATTTCTGGGACCGATTTAATTCTCGCACAAGATGATAGTATTTACGGCGGATATTACAACAAAAATGCATGAATACATGTATACACATTCCAGAAAATCAGTTGTATGCTTCTTGAATTTAGAAAAAATATTTGTTTTTTGAAACTTGAAATAGATCATTATCTTATATCAAGTAAAGTTTGTGGTGTAAAATGCCTCAACTTACATAATTTTAGGAGAATTCTAGAAGATATAATACTGGGTCCATTTGCTTTTCTGGCACTTTTTTGTTCAATCCAAGATGGTTTGTTGTCTCCTGCGTAGCCAATAAGAGCATACGACTCCCTCAACTTCACTGTAACGTCGGGATCACTTGCGCCCAATCTCTTAAGAGCGTTGATTGCTGGTGATACATGTAATGAACCCTCGTCTCCAATGGCCACCAAAACGATGTAACTTAAAAATGAATAAGCATTTGACTGGTTTATTAAAAGAGGCTTATAAACTAAGTCCAAAATAATAAAAAAAATGATTCCAGTTTAGGGACTGGTCATTAGCCTTCGAGGGGAGGGGTAGTTTGGGGGGATTTTGGTTATGCCAAGATAATATTAACCTGACCCCCCCCTCCCCCCCGCTCTGTAATATCCTTATGATTCCCCCCCCATGGGCAGTTAGTTGATAGTCAATTTTTTATAGACCCCCTTTATACTCTATTTGCGATGACTTATCCCCCCCTTAAAATTCTCCAACTCCTTCCCTTTCCCAGGCTATCACTAAATCATTGGTTCCTTACATGATTTAATATGCAGGTGAATAAAAACACGCAGATGAAGTTTTTCTAGGTCATGGCAAGAGTATGATGGTGTGATGTGCATTCCTGAAATGTTTCGACAATCGCAATGCACTTTCAATTCAAAAAGGGTAATAAAAACTACATATGTCTTTTGTTGGCTCAAGAGAAAAACAGACATCTAGGTTAACTCTCGACCCGACCCGAACCAGTCTCTCTCTCTTTTTGAGTCCGCTGCTACGATCGCGCTGTCTTATTGTCGCGCTCTGCTTCGATGAGTGAACCCATGCAGTAGGCTACATACTTTCCTCTTATGGCATTGAGATAGTCCCTGAGGCGAACACCTTCGGACTGACTTCCATGGGTGTCAAATGCACGGTTGGATAACACTTGACCGGAACGAAATTGAATTAAATTAAAAAATGGAAGATAAATGCCGAACCAAAATAAGACTTTAGAAGTTCAATGTTCTAAAACAGACAAACCTCTCTTTTATCACCAACATTGGATCAATGTTAGTATCTGAGCAACTGGGCACCTACCCCTCCTCTAACCAAACGTCAACCCTAACTTGTTATCAGTTGACGATCGCTGGTTTAAGGGAGGCGTTGGTACGCAGTTGCGCGATTGATCTCATATAATGTGCGTGGACACTTTACCTGTCGCTCCCTGCACAACAACGACATTATGTTTTTGGGAGTATTCCGCTCCATTCACTTGGATGTAAGCTTTGCCACATACGCCTGGCGCGTTATCTTCGCAACCTTCGCTTCGGATGACAACATGAATGGCAGGACCTTCAAGTAAAGAAAGATGAAGTCACTCTACTGAAACTTATACTAAGGAAGGACGCATGACTGGGCGTTCCCCATGGATGAGCTGCTTATCCATCGCAAAATTACCCCCAGCATTTTATACACCCTTTAACTCACAGAAGTGATTGACATGTGACTCCTCCTTGTACTATTCATACATTATCCAGCAAACATGTAAAGAGAGAACTCAGGCTTATCAGATAGAGCTTTTTATCTTGATGTAACACCAATTCTCGTTACTGATTCACAAGGAAATTTGCGGAAGGTAGAGTGGAGAATCAATAATCTAATATTGAGAGCTAAGATGTTAAAGGATCAATCTGCCCCAAAGAAATCGCAAACCTAAGTTCTCATTTTAAGCCACTCTATAAGATGGCCTGATAGATATATATATATAAAAAAACAAATAAAACATGTTTTTTTCTTCGTACCGAAATTCATTGATATTAGCTGTTTTCAATGAGTTGCCAACAGGCGGCTCTTAATTTGTCATTGGGATTAGATTATTTTGGCCTGCGTTTTTTAAAAAATGTATTGATATAAACGCATGCATATTCCAGAGAAATAACGTACGTGATTCACATCTTTCCCCTGTGAAATCTTGAGTACATACACATTGAAATATGACCCATTCGTTTCCTGGATAGCAGGTTCCTCCGTTTTGGCAAGGATTGGGACAGCAATAAGCCTTGAAAGGGGAAGCAATTTAGAAATATTAACAGCTTGTAATTGAACGCTTTCAGTTTGTCTTTTGACGTGCATAATTTCTTGATGACTGAATTAATCTGATGCCTTACTCGGAAAAAATCATCACCAGATATCATATCACCGACCTCTTTTAAGGTGTCGTTGATCTTAGCTAGCTTGTTGCTTGTTATATTTAGTGCAGAGGTCAACTGCTTCAGAGAGGAGTCCGGCTTTTGAAGCTGAAATGACAACATGATTAGAGATCCCATGAGTCCCAGTCTTAAAGTTGAAGTGCTTAGCCTGGAATACTTGCACCCCTTAGGGGGGAAGGAGGAGATCAAGGAAAGTAATGCAACGTTTGTTTAGCCCCATGTTAGCAATTTATGGTTTGCATGCGAACTGTCCGTACGAAATTTCTATTTCCATTTGGACGAAAAATCGGTAATGGTTGCTTCCTTCCTTTTATAATTTTTTTGGTTTCAGTTGTCGTTGATTTGGTCGGTGTCTAGTCTTTTTTGTATTTTGTGTCATTTTGAGGGTTTTTTCTAAATTTCACTTTTCATTTGGCCTCTTAGTGGTCGGTTGCCTGGCGAGTTTGCACGTTGCTTAGCAATGTAAGCTTGTTAGTTCAATTTAGTCGATTGGGTGTTAGTTGGGGCCCTGGGAGGATTTTTTGGTTAATTTTTAACTCTTTCACTCCCTAGATCTCATAAGTAGTTCTTCTTTCTGTCTCTCATACAATTCATGTGATGTTAATTCGGAGAATTTGGTATCGAATCAACTTATAATTTCCTAATTGATTTTTTTCTTAATTTTCGTCATCGTCTTCTTGATATCGTATTGATATTAAGAAAGATGTTTTTCATCTTATCACGAGCGTGGGACAAAGAAAAAATTCTGAGTCCTTATGCGGAATCGAGCCTGGGGACTCAGAATTTTTTCTTTGTCCTACGTTCGTGACAAGACAAAAATAATCTTTCTCTATTTCTTTACCGAGCTCAAAACTTTCCATCTCTCTTATTCTT